CCCCAAAACCCCAAAACCCCAAAACCCCAAAACCCCAAAACCCCAAAACCCCAATTTTGATCTAAGCTATTGAAACGAACTGGTATTCCAAATTGCTAATCTATATTTGCAGCTCTGATAACCACTCGGCTGCATAAACCCTCTCGTGCAAAGCCTGAGCCCAGATTGGTGAACTTGAAAGGAATATTTATTTCTTATCGTTTTCAGCTTTTGGATCATCGAGATAGTTGATCACAGAATGCACATCTGTCATTATGAGCTTGAAGTACTTGTCGATCTGCTGGTTTGCTTGGGCAATTCCGAGATTCACACGCGAGATGTCCACTACAGACCCGTCAATCAGAGGAGCGCCTTTGGAAGCTCCTTCTTTCAGATTCTGGTCTTTCAAAGTTCTGGTGAGGTCAAAGTGCTTTCCGAGGAATCTAATGGAAATCGGGAGAATTCCTTCTTCATAGTTTAGCAAGCCAAGTTTTAGAGTCGCTTCTGCCTGTCCCTGCTTGTTCTGGTCCTCAATTCCGATGCCAAGCAAAGCCTCAAGGTTCGAAATAGCAGCCGTTGAATTTCCTAATTTTGAATGTAACTCAGCCAGCCTTTTATAAGCATTGGACTTGAACTTATTTTCTTTGGCTTTAAGTTCTGGTGGCTTGTCGTCTGATTTGCACAAATCCAAGAACTTCTCCACGAACTCAATGGCTTTGCTCAAGTCTTCCATTTTCTCGTAGATGGTTCCGATTTTGAAATATCACTCGGCCTCCATGACTGGGTCGTTAGCTTTCTTACAAGCGTCGAGGCACTTTTCAAAATATTCCAAGCTTTTGTCGAAGTCTTCTTTTTGTTCGTAGTTCTTGGCGATGTTGTTGTACACCTTGATAAGCTCCTTCGAGATTGTGTTGATGATTTTTCTGAGATTCCCATCGATAGCTTTTTCAAGGGCAATCTCGTGATACTTCATCGATTCAAAAATATTGAACACCTCTTCTTCGCAAGAGCCGAGCCCCATGTAGGCTTCAGCTTCTCCATCGATGTACTTGGCTTCCTTAGAAACTTCAAGACAACGGTTGTAGAAGTAGGATGCAGTTTCGTAGTCGTGAAGCTTCTTGTAAGCCCCAGCAACCTTGTCGTACTGCTGGAGACATTCGATTGTGTGGCCGTCTCTGAGGTAGTTCTCTGCCTGAACGAGGTCTTCAGAGAGCTGCTCTAGAGACTCTTCTGACATTTCAAAGTGGTTATTTTTCACTCTTATTCATTTTGTATTCTTCAAGTAATTTCTGTGAAGGCACTATCATGCTTGGTGTTGTTTCAGTTGTTAAATAGAAGAAGTCAATAAAAGATTGAAGATATCCTTCCTGGAGCAATTTTATGCCTTGAGACTCTTTGGTAATCTTTTCTCCAAGCTGGAAACCTTTTCCACTGTTAACCTTCATGCCCGTGTTGCTGGCGCTGGTGGCTCCCATTTTCTTCTTGGCAGCCTTGCCACCTATTTTGTTGTTACTAAACTTTTCGATGGCTTCCTGTTTGGTTTTTAAGATATTGAGTTTCCTGATGCGGGCATTTTTAAGAGCAGTGCTTTCGTAGTCTGCCTTGACCACTGCTTGGTTCTAGATCGGTTATGTGCAATGCAATACCTTTAATTTGATCGGTGCAAGCTTCATTATGCCGGCCTGAATTTAAAAATATTATTTTATTTTTAATAATTTTTTAATCGGGGTTTTGGGGTTTTGGGGTTTTGGGGTTTTGGGGTTTTGGGGTTTTGGGG